GCCTCTGCGGGCAACTCCACAGAGAGCCCAGAAAAGCAGCAAGAGCGGCGGCTCGCTAACGAAACAGGCGACAGCACCCACGCTGCGACCGCCGTCAGCGGGGCTGCGGTGCCCGACGGCCGGAGACGGACGCTGGGGGCGGGGCCCAGGTGCGGGGCCCAGGGCACCTGTCGCCGGGCAGGAGGAGGCAGGCAGGAGCAGCCCGGGAACGCACCGGGTCTTGTCCGTGGACGCAACGCTTGCCCCGAGAGACCCCCAAGCTCCCGGCCAGTTTGGGCACCCTGTTGCAGTCCCTGACGATAAACAAGAAGAAGCAAAGAGTAGATGGAAAGAAGGAAACTTTAATGTCTACCTCAGCGATCTGATCCCCATAGACCGAGCCATAGCGGACACCAGGCCTGCCGGGTAAGACCTGCTTCCCCTGCACAAATACCTGCGCCGCGTCCCTGGGAACCCGCTCGGTGGCTCCCGGGGAGGGCTGCTGGGCACACCGAGGCCTTCGCTTCGTGCATGCTAGCCGTGAGATGGCTTTTGCCTTTCCAGGTAAGAGTAGCTTGTTATTAAATGTAAAACTGGGTGAAATTTGCAGATCATCTTAACCTGCCAAGCTCTGCTGTCCGAAGAGGCTGGGGCACACGAGGCAGGCGACGGGGCTCATTTTACCTGGTTTGTCAGGTGCGGCACCGAGCGCTGTTTGGTTTCGATATTCATGCGTTTTGTTCCCGGACCACTCCTGCACCCCCTCGATTTGTCTCGGCAGCAGAGGCCCTCCCTGCCCCAGAGGTGCTCTGACACCGGCAAGCTGCCGCTGCCCTTCCCTGGAGGCAGAGGCACCCCGGCGGCCTCCCCTGCCCGAAGGGCGCGCTGGGGCTGCGACAGCCTCTGCGGGAGGCAAAGCCACGCACTGAGCGCTGACGTGATTAAAGAGCGCACGGCAGCCTGCCGTCGAGGCAGTCCTGCAGGTGCCCGAGGCAGTCCTGCAGGTGCCCCTGGGAGCGCCTTCTGCAGACCAGTGGCACCGCTGCCCTTGTGCTGCAGAGCACTGCGGCCGGTACCCGCTCTGCGGGGGCGGCTCGGGGGGCTCGCGTCTGTGGGTGCATGTGGGGAGCTGGAAAACTCTGGTTCGGTTACAGCTGTCCCTGTGCAATGTGCAGCCGATTCTGCAAATCTCAGTATTGCACTTCAAAAAGGACACCCCACCCGCCCCGTACTCCCCACAGAAGGTGCAGGGTAAGGTGTGGGCAGCGCCTTGCCGAAGGAAGGGGGAAGGGGCTGGAGGGGCTCCCGCTCCCGAGCTGCTGTGCCTGGATGGCTGCAGGGGGGGTCCAGGGAAGGTGCCAGTTCTGGTGAACGGCAGGTTCGTCTTACACTTGGCTTTTCCTGCTGCAGACGTCTCTCAGCCCCACGGCAGGTGAGAGGCCTGCCTCATGCAGAGACCCCCCCGTGTCCCTCTTCCCACGCTCGCAGACCACGGGGGCGGTGGGATGGGAGTTGTGCTGTGAGTCATCCCCCGTCCCTCGGGACAGTACGCAGACGTTCCCGCGGCGCTGTCGGTGCTCGCCCGTGAGCCGAGGTGAGGTCCCGCATGGGAAGGAATAGGGCAGGGAAGGAGGGAGACAACTAGGACTGCTTGCCGGCAGACGGAAGATGCCAGCTGCAGAAGCCACCTGTGCACAGAAAAAGAGGCATGGCGGCTCAAAGCCAGCACTGTGTTTTGGTCTTTGCCAGCAAAGCCCTGGAGCTGTGGAGCAGAAACCCACCTCCCAGGAGCTCTCGGTGATCAAACCGCACGTTACTTTTTTGCTGGATGCTTCTAGTCTCTCCCAGCTTAGACCACAGCTTCTCTCTTGATCCTTGCCGGAGGGCTGGACGAGACCACTGGACTTGGGCCAACAGGAAGGTTGTCCCGCTGCAGCCTTCAGGATGCTGGCTGCTTTCTGAGCTTTGCTTACCGTGCTGGTGCTGCCGAGCAGCCCGCCTGCCTCCGGTGAATCACACACCTGCCCGGGAGCAGTCGGCATTGCTGGCTGAGCGTCACGGGGAACGCCTTGGCCAAACAGGGGCACGTCCCTGACGGTGCTGCCTGGGTACGTGTGCTGCCACACCGGGGCATGGGGCTGCAGGGAGCTCCCCTGGGCACCCCGGCACTGGCAGGAGCCTGGGTGGGCTCTGCCCTCAGCCTGTTGGCACGGCAGAAATTAAGGTGTAAGGGCCAGCTCACAGCAATGGCTGTTGGCAGCTCTCGGTGATCAAATGACACGTTACTTTTTTGCTGGATGCTTCTAGTCTCTCCCAGCTTAGACCACAGCTTCTCTCTTGATCCTTGCCGGAGGGCTGGACTAGACCACTGAACTTGGGCCAAGAGGAAGCTTGTCCTGCTGCAGCCTTCAGGATGCTGGCTGCTTTCTGAGCTTTGCTTACCGTGCTGGTGCTGCCGAGCACCGTGCCTCTGCAGAAATGCGTGCAGGAGGAGTTCCGCCAAGGAGGAGCAAGATGCACAAGCCGCACAGCTGAAGGCCAGGGGTTGCCAGGAGGCTTGCAGGGAACGCTCCCTGCAGAGCCCGGCGCAGGAGCCCTGGACCCCATCTCAGCCCAACACTGCAGCACTGGCAGCGAAGGTCCCTGCGTGCCTCTGACCTCTCCCCAGGCCACCGTCGTAGCTTCTCTGGGACAATCAAGTTATCCAGGTTTAGACAGGGACACAGATTTCCTGGCCTGGCAAAAAAAATGTCGCGTGCTGCATGGCAGGGTGCAGTCTGGGTAAGTTAGCACCGGTGCGGGCAGGCGTGGGGAGGGACCGCAGCTGCATCTTGCCAGCTGGGAGAGGATGGGGCTGGGCTCCCTGCGGCTCAGGTCTTCGGTCTTCGGTGCCGGGCTGCTTCGAAACTCAGGGGCAGCAGATCTAAGGTGATGTTTTCCCAAAGCAACTTCAGCAACTTAAGAGCCTGGCAGCACCTCTGAATTTTCTTCTTTGAGCTGTGCAGTGCCCTGGTGTCAGCATCTGAGCCAGCACCAGCCGAATCCAAGGGCCCATTCATTGAGACAGAAGAACAAGCAGTCAATTTTCCATATGCTCCCATATACCTGTCCCTGATTTCTATCCGTTGTTGACAGCAGAGTGAACAGTGTTTTCATTGCCGAGAAACTAATTTTCTGCACCAGCAGATAGACTGGTGCCTGTCCTGCCTGCAGGAGGTCTGCTCTGGAAGGGCAAGAGAGAAAACCTGCGATCAAACCGCAGCTTATTGACAAGAGAGAGGAAGTACACCCCAGCGGTTTGTGGGTGTTCTGGGATAAAGCAGCTGCTCTGGGGCAGAGGAGCGCTCTGCCAGGCGCTCTGCAGGCCTGGAGATCCACTCGGAGACCGCAGAGCTGAGGGAGCCCCGCTCCCCAAGGCAGGCAGCGAAGCGGTGCTTGAACTGCAAACAGAAGATGAGAAAAGCTGCTCATCGACCTTTTGTTCAGACACTGAAGAGACAGGCCTGACCCAGCCACTGCATTTTTGGCTGTCACAGAAGAAAATGACAAACTCATAGACACGGGAGAAATTTTATCACCCCCTTGGATCTGCCGATGCTTATCGCTGGCTGCTTGCGAGGGAAGCAGGCGCCGCTCGGAGCCCCTGCACGGGGCTCGGGGCACGGCTGGCCGGGCAGGGCCGTCCTTGGGGAGGCGTGGGTGCTCCGGGTGTGAGATACGGGGTGCTCAGGGAGTGGACCCGCCAGTGCCCTCGTACATGAAATTTGGATGCTTGAACGTTGTCCCATCCTCCACGGTCCCCTGAGTGAGGTGCAGAAGTTGGACCGGGCGACTCTTCCTCACTGCCTGCATGTTTGACAAGTCACTGTGCCGAGTAGCCCTTCATGGAAAAGGCCATTTCTCTGCATTTTGAACATAATACTGATTCTGTTTTTCCAGCGAGGCTATCTTACGCAGCCCGGGATCCCAAGCCCTGCGGGTGCTCGGAGCGTCGCAGGAGGGCACCCAGCGCACGGGGATCCTTTCCCCGCAGGAGTCCCCGAGGCCAGTGGTGCAGAGCTGGGCTTGGCCTTGCCCCCCGGGGCCTTTGCACTGTTTGCTCACAGAAAGGAGATATCATCACCTGGGGGTAGGGAGGAAAAAAGAGGTCCCTGTTAGAAAGGAGCGAGTGCGTCCTATCCCCTGCGGCTGTGAGGGGGGTTCCCAGCTCACCCCTCTGCTCCCTCTCCCGACAAAATCCCATTGCAGGGGTTTGCCTCTGTATTTCACATTTGGGAATTCCTCCCTCCCTGTGCGTTTTCCCAGGAATGCCTAAGCCTGGAGATTTCCAGGAGTGTGACCGGCCGTCACCTGTGGGCCCGTGTTGCCGTTGCAGGTGCTCCGAGCAGCGGGTTCACGACGACCTCCCGACCACCACCATCATCATGTGCTTCGTGGATGAAGTGTGGTCCACCCTCCTCCGCTCTGTTCACAGCGTCCTCAGCAGATCTCCTCCGCACCTGATTGAAGAAGTCATTTTGGTGGACGACTTCAGCACTAAAGGTGGGTGAAGCTTCTTCTACCTTTATGAAACTAATATAACTTGAGGCCAAAATACAATTTCTTCTCTGTAATTCAATTCTGAATAGTAGAAAGAAATCGCATTTTCTCCTTTCGCTGTATTGAAGTGCGTCCCCAGCCTGCGCTGTTATCTTTCCAGATGCAGGGACCAGAGGCAGATGGGCACTGGGGATGGCTGCGGCGGGTCGAGCTGCGGCTCTCGCCCGACACCCTCCCAGACTTCATCACTCCAGTCTCTCCCGTCCCAGCTCACTCACTTAAACAGCCGCCACGTTTACAGCTGCGCATTGCTAAGTTTACACTCGTGCCCTGCTTTGCGCGTGTGCCGGAGGCCGGAGCAGGCACTGCGGTCCAGGAGCACCAGGGAGCTCGGTCCCCCTGACCCGCACGTCTTCAGGGTGTCCTGGCTCCAGGGCTCATGCATTTATAAAATAGACACTGTCACCCTTCTCTCCGCCATTTCCAGATGAGTGCCCCCGTGTTTTCAGTGCTGGCAGCAAGGGAGGAACAGTGCGCACCTCCGAGGGTGCTCAGAGAATGGGATAGTTGCAGTAAAAGCAGTGGTGAGCCGGGCATCTGCACGTGCACAGGGGCTTTGCATGCGTGCTTACAGGCATTTCAGATGACATCCAACCTCTGCTTTGTAATGCTTTGGCTCTCTGCTGGGTTCAGCCCTTAAAAATTTGGGAATGATGTAATTTTCCAACTGCTGATTCTTCAGGGAAAGTGCTGTCTCAGGGAAACTTCAGAGCTCATGCCACGAATACAAAGAGCCTACAATGCAACAAGACAATAGGTGCAAAAAAGACCTAGTTTGCTCATTTTTAAAGTAATCATTAAAACATGCTCATACCATTTCCCCTCAAAACATCTTTTCAAGTTTCCTCTTCAGTTTCTCCCCATGACTTCCCTTTGTATCTGCTCGTTAGCCAGCGAACGTCTGAAACGCTGGGTTTGCAACCAAAACCTCGCGAGTGTGGGTGAATTATGGAGAGCTGTGCTCTGCCTTGCTGTAATCCAAGTAGCAGCAGCAGCAATTACCTATGGCGAACGTGTCCACAAATGTCTCACTTTTGGAGCCTTTCAAAGCTTTGAACTGGCTTTTGAAATGCAAACAGTTGCGTTCTCCTGAAGAAAACCAAGGAGCACCAGTGAAGCCCGTCGGTGAGGGAGGTCGGGGGTCCTCCCGCAGGCCCAACCAGGTACGTGGGTGGCTGGCCCCAAGCGAAGCCCTTGGAGCAGCGGCAGCCGCAGCACCGCAGCAGAGGCTCCCGGGCTCCTCTGCCGCCGGAGGGAAACCTCCCGCAAACAGGACTGACCGGCGCTCGACTCCCCCGACCCACCTTCCTCACACCCTCTTTTTCCTGAGGGCTACCAGCAGCTGCCTCCACAGCCAGAGGAAACCATGACAAAAGCAACCTGAAGAGTAGAGATGTGCCACAGCAAACCTTTGTGCAGTTTAAACCCGGGCTGAGTCTTTAAATGCAGTGCTTGATACTGAGAAATTGGTAGAGCACAAAAAAATATTTTTTTAGGCAAGGAAAAAAAATTTACAACCAGATTTTAATTGCAATTATAGTGTAATGAAGAAAAGAAACCTCATTTTGGAGTCTTTGAACAACCGTTCGATACCTGGTTTGGATCATGAACTACCCAAGCGAGGCCACCGGGATTTCGCTCATGGCTTGTTGCCGAAAGCCCTGCACTTGTTGCTCTCCGCTTTCCATGTCTCCTGCGTGCGGCAAGTCACTGCGCTCGCCCAGCACCGGGTACGGGTCTGCCTTTGCTGCGTCCGCTGGGGAGCAGGAGACGATACCACCAGCCGCAGCCCTGTCCTTTGGAGGGGCAGAGCCAGGGCAGCCGGGCAGCCCGTGGCCAGCCCCCAGGACACCCGTCACAGAGTACCGGGAGACGCGTCTCCAACAGAGGTTTATAAACTCATCAGCCTGAGCCTAAACCTGCTGGCACTGACGCGGTTGGGAGTTTCACTGGAGAGCAGGCTCGGACCGCGACGCCGTGCACCAGAAGCCCTGCAGCTGTGCCCAGATGTTCACACCCCAGACCCAAGGACCCTGCTGTGGCCGGAGATGCTTCCAGGGAAAATCTGCCCGCTGCTTTTCACCCTGGAAGTGGGTGTGAAATGGGTAAGTCAGCCTCACCCTCTCCTTCTCCTCCTCTGCAGAGTACCTCAAGGAGAAACTGGACAAATACATGTCGCAGTTCCCGAAAGTGAAGATCCTCCATCTCAAGGAGAGGCACGGGCTAATACGGGCCAGACTGGCGGGAGCAGAGATCGCCAAAGGTAGGACGAAAGCCGTTTTACAGCCCTGTCTGGACGCCCTTGTCTGTGCTGATAAGCCACCTCCAGCACTGAGCTTCAGTCCCCTCCTAATGAACTAAGGGCAACTTTTCCATCTGCAAAGCGCAAGGGTCTGAGGAGGGGACGAGCTGCTGCTGGTCCGGCACCTCAGCACGGCCCTGGCAAGTGGCAGTCAGGGTCCCCAGCCGCCTGCGCAGGCCGGGCTGTGTTGGCACCGAAATGGCCATTTCTGCCGGGAGCCGCCCCGCTTCGCTCTGCAGGCCGCGATGGCCGAGCAATGAAAAACATGCTCTGGGCTACGGCTGGGAGGGTTTGGGGAGCTGTGGAGGGTCGTGGCCCCGTCAGCAGCACCCTGAGCCCACGGGGCGCCCGGGGAGGCTGGCCAGCACGGGACAGGGATGGGGCACCTGAGGGCTGACGCTGCCCGGCCTCTGCCGCAGGCGCCGTCCTGACGTTCCTGGACTCGCACGTGGAGTGCAACGTGGGGTGGCTGGAGCCGCTGCTGGAGAGGGTCCGCCTGAGCCGGACCAAGGTTGCCTGCCCCGTCATCGAGGTCATCAGCGACAAGGACATGAGGTAAGGCAGCTCACGCCCCTGGGAAACCCAAAATCCACACCAGCAGCACGAGCAAAAACCTCTTAGTGGGACCACCCACATATTAATGACAGGAAGACACAGGTCCAGACCTCCTCACTGGCCTTCAGCAGCATTTCACAAGGGATATGTAACGTTGCGGTGCACCAGAAATCAACGTTAGCAGTGGACGTGGTCCCTTCATTTATCGCACACACCTTTTCCCTTTTTCGTGACTTTTAGTACATGAAGAGGATTCCTGATGAAATTTGTTAAAATACTGTTTTAATTATGTACAGATATTCATCTTCACTCATTAAGGGTGACATTTCAATCAGGAATGTGACTCAGAATTAGTCATCCCGATCTTCCCTCTGTTTAGTTACATGACCGTGGACAACTTTCAGCGTGGGATTTTCACTTGGCCAATGAATTTTGGATGGAAGCAGATTCCACAAGAGGTCATCGAGAAAAATAAAATCAAGGAAACTGATATAATAAGGTAAAAAAAGGCAAATGTGAGAGCTTTGTGAACCAACCTGTTCCTCTGTTAATAATGTAGCAACAAAGGCTCCTTCGAGGCCACATGTTGTCCTTACGAGCAAAGGAACGACAGAGGCAATGGTGCACTGTGGGCAGCCGCACCATCGGACACGGGCAAAGCCCAGCAAGCCTTTCTCACCTCCTGCGGCACTGCTGGCGTTTCGCCGCCGGGGCCGGGGGAACATACCATTCCATGCCCCATTACGGCTTTCAGACAGGGTAAAGCCACCTAAATATCATCTATTTTAACACTGCATGTGTCAGCCTGCACCGAAGTGACAAATCGGGTGGTCCTTGCTGTCTCTGTAAGCACAGGCTCAGACACCGTCCCCGAGCATCTCGTAGCCCGCGGCTTCTCAATGATTCCCTTGCCAAAGGAAGGGGAAGGGGACAGGCGCTTCCCGACCCCCTGACGTGCCGTGTGGCTTCTCTGTTCCCAGGTGCCCGGTCATGGCGGGTGGCCTGTTTTCCATCGATAAGAAGTATTTCTTTGAGCTGGGAATGTACGACCCAGGACTGGATGTCTGGGGAGGTGAAAATATGGAGCTATCATTCAAGGTATGTCCTCCCACACACCTGCATCCCCGCCAGCCTGGCTTGGGTGCTGGGGGCTCGGCCAGGGCCTCCCTGGGGCAGCCCCGTGCTGGAGACCCCGTCCCTCCCGGCGGTTTTCTTACTTCTCTGCTTCTGTTCTGGCTTGCACAAAGCCAGCACCGGACATTTGCCCGTGTTTCTGTCAAAGCAACCTCTGTTTCTCAGGTCTGGATGTGCGGGGGAGAGATCGAGATTGTTCCGTGCTCCAGAGTTGGGCACATTTTCAGGAACGACAATCCTTATTCCTTCCCGAAAGATCGGGTGAGGACGGTGGAGAGGAACTTGGCCCGCGTTGCGGAGGTCTGGCTGGATGAGTACAAGGAGTTATTCTACGGCCACGCTTACCACTTGGTTTTGAAAAACCTGGACGTCGGCGACCTGACTCAACAAATCCAACTGCGAAAGAAGCTTCAGTGCCAAAGCTTCAGGTGGTACCTGGAGAACGTCTACCCGGACCTGGAAGCTCCTCTGGTGAAAGCCAGCGGGCTGGTACGTACCCTGATGAGTTGCTTTGTGTTTCGGTGTTTTCAGTGGCTGGCTAGGGACGTGGTAGCATCCCAGCGTGCCTGTCTCTGAATTGCTTCCCTGGCGTTCGGTAACATTTTTGAGCATTTAATACGTCGCGGTGGTCTGGATTCCCCGGTACTTCTATGAGGGAACGGGCCACGATGCCAAGAGAGTTTCCGTCGCAGAGCGTTGGGCGCTTGGAGCGGGGGGAGCTGCGCTGCCGCCGTGCCGGGGCCGTGGGGCGGGGCCGGGC